ACAAGGCTTTCTGGCAATCTGAATGTTGAGCAATATCCTCGTTACAGCAGCTCTCTTCGTATCACAAAACTGGATCCTGGATATAGACTCTTGTGTGAGATCTATTGACCTGTAAGTGTTGCATAAGAATATGCTTTATAGCTGAAAACTCAATTGTGCTCTGTTGGGTAACTGCACCCACTACATTAGCAGCCTTTAAACCAGTTGTGACCTTTCCAACTGCAGAATTTCTGTCTCAGAGGTGGCTTGAAGCAAAATTCAAAATGAATGTGGAGTTTGCAGAGTGCATTATGCTGTCCTTTACGCTAATATTAGGATATGGTCTTTCATTCCTTCAGAAAATAATATTTTATTTATGCCTTTTAAAAAGTATTGACTATTTGTATCTTCAGTAAAAAACACATCTAAAATGACTTGTAGTTCCATGTGGTGCCTTTTAATAATGATTTAAAATATTGCGCTGTCTGTCTGCATCTCATGTACTGCATAGAACACTGCTCACCTTGGTTCCGAACACCAGCGACAGGAAAAGATCTGTAGACAAGCTGTAATTTCTTACAGGGAAGGTAATTGTTGTTGGAAGTAGGTGGAAGGTAATTTTTGAACAAGCAGCTTAGCAAACATTAACTATTCAGTTTGTGCTGTTTGTGCTTTTCCTTGTCCCATCAGGTAAGTTCACAGTCACCTGGGGCACAGGCACACCTATCCATTGTTCCTACTTAAAGAATCTCAACATCAAAGCTGCATATCACAGATTCTATGGTAGGGTCAGCTACCCAAAAAAATACAAAAAAAGAGTGCATTTCCTTGTTGACCAGCAGTAATGTGATTCAGCACAGTTACTGGTGACCAGGGCTAATTTCTGTATGCAAGAAGATGCTGAAAAGCCATATATTGCTTGAAAATGGGGAGGACATTACTCCAAAGTCACCATTAGCAATGCAAAAAAGATTCTAGTACATCTTGTCACAAAATTAGCCATATTATTTGTTCAGCCCTACTTGTTCTCAAGTTGCAGAGTAGCTTCTCTTGGTGTTCAGTCTGGCAAGAATCTCCAGCAGTAGAGAATCTGCTAAAGAGACCAAAAAAGGCCAATATGATCTCGTAGTATGTAATGACTCTGTCTGTATATTAATCACCTTCTTATGAAAAATAAAATAAAAAAAAAAAAAACAAACAAAAAAGAAAGAAAAAAAGGGAAAAAAGTATATGAGACTGAAATGCATGGATGTCTGATTGAAATGGTTGTTTTACACATTCATCTGTTTCCCAACACAATTTAGCAAGTCTGTACAAATATTTGTGCTGTCCCACTGAATAGGTGGTTGGGGATTTGAATTAGCTGCTGGAGGCAAGGGATGTAAAGAAAGTATCCTTTCCTTCCTTTCTGTTGAATACTATGTAAAGAATTGTATACTGTGTAAGGATTCATCTGTAATTCACAATTTTCTATGAGTATAGATTAATCTAATCTTAATTAGGAACTCTTTATGAAGCTTTATATCAATTTTAGATTAGTTGCTAGGATCCCAAACACAGGATTTATAATCTTTCCTGGTAGAAAACACAAAAGGAGCTTTTAGAAAGTGATAGTATCTAAACTTTTGTTTTCTTTATTTTCATGTCTTAGAAATTACATTTTCAAGGTCTTCTCTATAACCAACATGATTAAAAACCTGCTTTACACAAAACACACTTCAATTTTGTCACGAAGGTATGATTACAAGAGCTTTAAGAGACACACAGAGAATACAATGAATCTCATGAAGAAGAAGGTTGTGAGAGTTGGCTTTGTGCATTTTGTCAGGCTTCCAACACCACCAAGACAGACAGATTCTAGCCCGTGATAGGAGAAGTGCAGATGTGCACACAGTGAGCTCGTGCTTCCTTAAGATACCTGCCCAAGACCTGGGCAGGTTTCCAGGTCCTGAAGTTTACTGAGAACTCCCTCTCTGTGCTTTTGGGCAATGCATGAGAGACTCAAACTATAGGAGGAAAGGCAGTTAGAATCTTATCTGTGGCATGCAAGCACTTCCAAGCAGTGTGGGGATAAGAGGCATCCACACAGAGACATAGCCCGTGCAGGTGCTTTGCCCATCTGCCTGAGGATGGCATCACTGCCCCCCTGGGAAGGACAGCAGAGACCTGAAAGGCTCCTTGCGAGCTGTGTGTACCCACAAGTCATGGATACAACAAGTCTCTTTCACCAAATACCTTAGAATATAACCTTTGCAAAGAAAATGTTTTACTTTTCAGTTACCTAGGTATCACTTCTGGAGATCACAAAACTCTGTATTAGACTGTAATTAGATATGTTTCACAACACCCCCATGAGGGAAATCACTAATTACAGCAGCTTGTTGGAATTAAGGTGAGTGTAGTCATGGTTGGTAGTGACTATGATACTATTGCAATCTTGTATTACTACACTTCAGGCTATGATTGTATCAAATCTCAGAAGCCAAGAGGGTTGGGTCTGGCTGGCAGATGAATAGAGAATGAAGAACTGAGCTATGCATTTGTGATTTCTTAAGAAGTTATGTGGTTATAAATCACAAGTCATATTAATTTGCTCAAGAATAAGTACTCTGGAGCTTTGGTGTCAGGAAACACCCTAGAGCTTGAGAAGTTGTGTTATGCCAGAGGAATAAAACCTACGGCCTCTCCTGATCAGCCACAGCGATTAATAAATCCTGTATTTTTATGGGACTGATAATTTGGCAGAACAAGTATATTGGTCATGGCAAAATGGGAAAACCCCAACTCTGAAACTTGCATTTGCCTTGCATCTTCTCATTAGTGAAATAATAGTAACTTTATTTTTCTTGCATTTGAATACCTTTTAGAAGTATTACTACAGCAGTGGTGAGATATTTCCATTAGAGAGCTCAGTGCATCTCAGCAGGGAAAGTCTCTTTACACACACAAAGCTTTCTGTCACAACAGGTAATCCAATAATTGATGTGAGATAACAATGTTCTCGTAACATAGTTTTTGGTTTTGTTAGTTTTAGCTTAATTAAATGATATTTTAGTTTTAACAAAAAGGTATCAAATGTTGCTTTTTATTCCTTCTATTTTTTTTATTTTTAATGGATGCACATGAAGAGGGGCCTGGTTGCCTAAATGCTGCAGAGCTTTGCTAATCTGTATGAAATACAGAGGTCTGGGAAGGCTGTTAGGCTTCAGAAGAGGTGATGGTGTATCAGACTCCTGCATTTGCAAACCGTCTCAAACCGTCCTAGCTGGACACACTGTGTGTCCTGGTTAGAGACAAAATTTGGGAGGAAGGAGCAAGGGCACAGAGGATTAGATGAAGATCAGCAAACCAGTGCCCAAGAAACCCAGGAAAATGGCATAGAGAAAATCCACCTTTCAACTGAGACGTAAAACTGTGCTTGGTGGCATTGAGGGTAGCTATTGACCTGAACTGCATCTTCAAAAGCTCCAAGCAGGTTTCACAACTGCCCAGGCATATGGTTTTATGGTACAGATGATGCCAAAAGAGTGTCAGTCACACCTCCTTCTTCGCAACAATTTATGAGCAGTTGGTTTCACTTCCTCCTTTCTGCTGTCCTCAGGGCCCTGAGCTGGACAAGCCTTTCAGCCTGCTCAGCTTTCAGTCACATTTCCTGGCTTCTCATCTCTTCTGTTCCTACAGCACAAATGTCATCCTTTGTTTAGCACAGAATGTCTCAGAAGTTTCATTAGTGGGTATGGACCGGCTGTAGGTGGCCAGGTGCTGGCAGCACGGGTGGTCTCGGTGAGGAAACAGGGCTGTCCCATGCTGGGCACAGCCACTTCCAGACAGCTCCAACAGACCCACCATGGGGAATGGCTGAGCCCCATCACTAACACCAGTAGCACTCCTGGGAAAATATATTTAAGGAAGGGCAAAAGCACTACGTACCAGTGAGGGAGAGAGAGGAGTGAGGAGAAAAAAGTGGGGAATTCCATTGTGAACAGAAAGGTCAAAAAAGAAAGAGGGGATGGAGGTGCTGCAGGTGCTGGAGCAAGGATTTCCCTGTAGCCTGTGTAAAGGACCACAGTGGGTGCAAATATCCACAGTGTGGCCCATGAGGGACGCCACACCAGAGCAGATGGATACTTTCTGAAGGAACTTCAGAACAAAGAATCAGAGACAACTTTGAAGTATTTCACCTCAACCACAGGAAAAAAAAAAAATCTGTAAAATCTCGGGAAAATGTTTTTAACTGGTCAGACAGTCTGAAAAAAAAAAAAAAGTGTGGGTTTTTACTCTGGGGGAAAAAACCAGCCAAAGAAAACCATACCAAGCCAAACAACAAACTCTCAAACCACAGCACAACATAGGAAGCCCGACTATTTGCGAAGGGAGGCACAAAGCGGCAGAACGCTGGGGGTTCTTGTGCCGGCACTTGCCGCTTGTGCTGCTCTGAAACAGTTGCAAGCAGCCGGGTGCTCCGGGCAGCGCTTCCAGGGAGGAGAGCACGGCGGGGGCACGCGTCCCGAGGGAGCCGCGCCGGTGTATCCATAGGAAAATGACGTGATGCAGGATTAGTCGGTTTGTATTTACACCCCGTACCGGGAGGTTTGCCTCCAGCTTGCACAGCTGAACCCGCACAGGCGCCGGGCGGAACACAGGTTTCACCTCTCTGGGGCGCTGGGTTCACGGGCAGCCGCCGCCTCTCCCGAGCCGCTCCTTCGGGACGGGCGGGGGGAACCCTCCCCGGGGCGGGGCAGCGATGGCGATCACTGACAGACCTCACCGTCCCGCTCGCCCCCGGCCCCCCAGCCCCGCGGGTGCGCTGCCTCCGGCGGCGCCTCTCCCGCTGTCAGGCACCGCCCCGTCCAGGCGCGTCCGCCGGCCGGAGGCGATGGTTGGAGCGGGACGGGGCGGGCAAGGGGAAGGGAAAGGCGGGGGGAAATGTCGCGGTCGTTACGGGAGACGGGAGAAAACCGGAAGCCGGCGGGGCGGGGCGGCGAGGCGCTGGCGAGCCCTTCCCCGCCGCCAGCCTCTCCCCGCCGGGCGGCAGCAGCAGCGCCATGGGGTGTTTCTTCTCCCGCCGCAGGAAGCCGGCCCAGGGCGGCCAGCCGCCGCTGCAGCAGCCAGCGGGAGCCGGGCAGGAAGCGGCCACCGGCGAGCAGAAGGCGCCGCAGTACAGCTGGGACCTGCGAGCCAAGGTACCGCCCCGGCGGCTGCGGGATGGGAATGGGGCTGGGCTATGGCTATGGCTATGGCTATGGCTATGGCCTCTCTCAGTGGGCAGCATCTCTCTCTCTCCTGCCCTCCGGGATGTGTGCTCCGGCAGGGAGCACGCCTTCCCCGGTCCCACAGTTACGGCTCGCTCCGCGCAGTTCAGTGCGTTTATTTGAACAATTAAAAAGCGTTTAGCCTAAGGATTTTACCAGGCAGTCTCAAATTGTGCAAGCGGAGAGGGCGGCGCGCTGGGTGCCGCGGCTGCCGGGTGCGAGCATCGGTCCCGGTGCGCGGCTGCTCCGGAGGGGGCTGGCGCTGCCTCCCGGTGGGACTGCGCCCTGTGGGCAGGCAGCTTGGCTGTGACAGTCCCCAGGGTGTCTGCCTGCCGTCGGGATTCCTGATACAGCGCAAAGTTCCCTGGGCGAGTGTTTCCAGAAAACCGGGATTAATGCTGGGGAGCTGCTTGTGCCCGGGTCGGTCCCCGCACCTGGCATTGGAGCGGAGGCATAAAACTCGTGCCGTGTGTCCTGACTGTCTGTATTGATTCTTCCTGATTGGGTATTTGCGCTGTTCGTTTGGTTGGTGTTTTGAGGTTTTTTTAAGGTTTTGGAGGGTGGGGTTTGTTTCTTTTTTTTTTTTTTGAGGAAGTAGAACTAGCTTATTACCCCTAAAAAGACAGATGAAGTCAAATCCTTTCCCATGCTGCTTCCCGAGCTCCCGGAGGCAGTCATGAAGACTCAAGCGGGAAAGCATTTAAACGCTGGATAAAATGTATTTCTTCCTAGCCTCATTTCATGTTTCACTTCCTAAATATATAATGACATTGTAGCCCTAGTAGGCCTCTCTTCCTCTCCTCTCCAGCTGCCTTCGGGCGGGGGAAGCAGAAACTAGGCAGGCAAAAAACGTAATTAATGTGTTTTCAACAAATAAAATCCTCAAACCTTTAGGCCATATTTTACACGTATGGGAAAGACAATGTGTGAACTTATTTGAATGTTTAGCTTGCTTGTTTTTTAAACTTGGCCAGGTGCTCTAGGGTGTCCCTTAAGTCTTCCGAGTAGATTAAGACAAGCTCAGATGGAGATGAGCTAGAGAGCGTGCGTGTGGCCTGGAGGAATTGGTTCCTTGAGGATAAAGATGAGCAATCTGTGTTGGGCTTATTGCTTTGACTGGATAGCAGATATTTAGGGAGCAGACGGAGAAGGAGAGGATAACAGCCTGTCACTTGTGTGGAGACTATTCTCACAGCAGGAGGGGCTGCAGGGAAACCATATTTTAGTGACAGAACAAAACTTGGTCTAAAAGTAAATTTCTAAATCAGCCTTTGGAATAGTATTTTTTTTTTAAAATTTTAGAGCAAATTCACCAGCTAAAACTCAACAGGTATGAGAATTTTTACCCCATCTACTTATATACAGCTAACTTTGAAAACTAAAAGAAGGAAAGTCAGGATATAGAAAGACTTGATTCAGAGAATAGCTGGCCTTGTTGCTAAGGAGATGATTGTTGTTAACTTGCTGGAAGTAGGCTCCAGCTAACATATGAAACTCTTACAGCACCAACATCTATCTCTGTGGACTAAAAAAACCATGGTCATGTATTGCACGTAAAACTTCCTCTTTTTCTGTAAAAGACTCTTACAAACTAGAAGAACCAGTGAGTTTGGGCTGTGCTAGTGAACTGTGCAACCCATCAAATTAACTGCTTAATTTTGTACTGTACAGCCTAAGAATGGCTATTTAATGTCTAAGTTCATTTCTCTTGCTCTTTGCAGCCTTATTTTTCATTGGGCTTTTTGGATGTAAGATTAATACATTAAACTAGGAAAGCACCTGGAGTCACCTTATCTTAGGTGAAGGAGTACTGAGCACTTGCTGCACTAAACTTGTTGATCCCAGTTTGTATTGTGATAGCCTGTCTGTGTTAATGTAAGCTTTAAATGTTGTCTGTGATACCTTGTCCTGTTGTCTATTGCTTTCTCATTTGTGATGCTTTACATATACTTATTTCACAAGTTTGTGTTTGTACACAAAGTTAAATTGAAGTCAGTTGGAAAACTTGTGGCATCAAGACTCCTTTTTATCCATCCGGTGCATTCAATTGCATTCTAAACCCTGAAAACCTCAACTCTGTCAACAGATGTGCTATATTGTCTTGATGTTTATTTCCACCATTTGGGTTGGGGATGTGTTTTAATCTTAGGCTCTCCTACTCAGTGGTGCAGCTGTGGTTATACAGTTCTGTTTCACAACCAGGTTTGGCAATTGTCTGTAGTTTTTGTAAACTGTGCTCTGTATGTCCATATAGGTGAGTATGTCTTGCTGCCCAGACACTCCAGCTGTCTTCCTGTAAACTAATGCCACCCTGACATGGCAGAAAAATGTAGGCACACTTGTGTGCATATTTGTGTGATTAGGGATGTGTAGAGGGATGAATGAATCTGAGGGGTTCCTCCAACAAAACTATTTCTTGTGCTTCTGAAGGACGTCATTGCTAGTTGAGCCTATTTTAATGATGTTCTCATGGCAAAGGCTGATTGTATCAACACTGTCTGCTATTGTAGCCTTAGACAAAGAGAAATATGATGATATCCCAGTGACTATATAACTCTTGTGTAATAGTCCCAAGAAATTGACCATGTGGTAGAAAATTCTAAATAGAAAATATTATAAGATGCTGATAGTTGAATTGAAATTAAGGAAAGTATATGAATTTGAGGAGCCTTTTCAGATTTCTGTGTGACTTTAGTAAGTGACGACAGAAGTTTTAAGGTATGCAAAATTTAATCAAATTCAGATTGCATTGTAAATCTGCTGGAATCTCTGTAACACTTTCTGAGCCTTGGGTTCAGAGAACTGGCTGAAGATTACTTATGGTGCAGTAGAAGAACGAAAGGATCAGATTATCTTGAAAATAGAAAGGAGAAGGATGAGTATTCAGTTTCTTGCTGCTCTGTGATTCTCAGTCCATGAGTGGAAGTAGAGCACAGTTTATTCTCCAGTCTGTTGGTACTGCATTGCATCCTGAGGACTTACTATGTCTCTTGATGTCTTTGGGCTGCCATGAGAGTCTCTTTCTGGCAAAGCGTGGCAGAGGAACTTGTTGGTGCTCAGCCCTTCCCAGCCTCTTCAGCTAGCTTTCCACCTGGGTTGCTTTCCTTTCCCACTGCATGACTAACAGCAGTAACTGACTGCGGGTATGTACAGACAGGAACTGGGGCTTTCGTGTCTTGTGATGGCAGATACGCTCATGACCTCCACAGGAGAAGAAACACAAATAGCTGCATCATCTTTTTTGCTCTTGTCTCATGTTTAAAGAAGTAGGATTAGATTAATTATGATCACAGTGGCACTTAGAGCTTAGAGGAACTTTCCTTCCCAGATTATTTTTTTAACTTTTAAGAGGAACAAGTAAAGTTTTGTGTTATGTCAACTGACTTGCAACTTAACTCGTTTAGTTGATAGGAAACATGCAGCCTTCACTGTTATTGTGCTGTGTAGCTGTATTTAAACAGTTAGAAAACCTCAAGAAATTTCACTTTTTGCCTAAGTCATAGTCTTTTGTTAGTTACCTTACATTTGAGGATTCTTCATGAATGGTCTGAGTTGACTTGGGTATCTTGAATTGTCTAGATCTTGTTTAGGTGGCCATTTTGTACTTTATTTTTTAATATTAATAAAATATTTTTTTTTTCTCTAAACATTGGATTTAAGGATGAAATAATTCATTGTGTCTCCCTTATGCTTCCTGGTGCACCAGAAGAGCTATTGCTGTTTTTCTCAAAATGTGGTCTGATGAACTGAGAAAGAGTCAGAAGGTTCATATTAAGCAGTATTTCCAGTTAGATCTAATACAGGCCTGTGGTAGCTTCCTTTCTTCTTTCACTTTTTCTGTATGCAGTGTTTAGCGGTGGTTTGCTGAATGTGAATGACTGTTTTATGTTGTTATGGGCATTATGGAAAAGCATGAAGACTCCCAAGAAGAGAATGAAATGAGCATTCAGTCTGTTGTATTGGCCACTTCTGAAGTTAGGGTGTGCAGGAGATGCTCCAAAATGAAAAACTGTTTGCTAGAGACAGGAATCTTCTCTACACTTTCCACCTTTTCTTGTTGTGCAAGAATCTTGAAATCTGCCACTGGGTGAGTAACTTCAACAAGCAATCTCCAGAGGATGTTGCAACTCATTACTTGAGGGCACCAAACCCATGCAAGTGTGAATATGCAGAAGTGTCTAGGCCTGGGAATGCACTTTTTTTTTTTTCTTATTTCCCTAATGTTAATTCCCCTGCTGACAAAAATAGTGCTTAAAGCTTCTTAAGTTCATGTGCCTACACTATAGGTGCAGCTTTTAATGTCACTGGGTCAGCAGCCAACTTCTGTATATTATCAGCTGGAAGTTCATTTCTGAACTGCCATCTGTAGTGACTTAGAGAGATAGGGGATGAATTTTTGAGAATTATATTTAAAAGAGAAGACCTTAGTGTAAGAGGTTTAAAAATACTTTACAAACTGGTTGCTCAGCAGCTTTGACATGGGTAACTAGAGGAGAACTGTAACCTGTTAAGAACAGCAGTACCTTCTCATATTTGTAGGAGTGTATCACTGAAAATCCTTCCCTGATGGTTCCTGTGAAAAAGTCTTGCTAAGATATGACCTCATACCAGAAACACTTCAAGATCCTGGGATCCTTTATGATTCTAGGTACACTTACCACTAACAGCTGTGAAGGTCTAGTTCTTGCACGTCTTCCTCCAAATGGGAGCTGCCCAGTTTTGGTGCCAGTGAACTGGATAGTGGTGGCAGAAGAGATGTACTCATGTGCAGCTTTCACATAGCCTCTGACCTTCTTGCAAGACAAGTGTCTGCAGGAAGAAAAGCTGCTTAATGCACCTTGCACTTGTAACAGGATGTCCTGGAGCTGTAAGCAGCCATGACTAACTCGTTTGCCTTCACTTCTCTCCTTTTGTTTGTTCTTTAAAATCCTTGCTGCTTACAATTTGTCCTCTAACACTTTGTAAAAGACTTCTCACCATTGTAATTGCTAAGAATCAAAGATTAGGCTTCTGTGCCTGTCTGGAGAAGGAAAAATATTAGCCCTGTAAGAAGGGCTGGCTTTTTCATCATGACATCTGGTTATTTTAGGTTATTCTATGGAGTAATTCCCGAACCTGTGTATAGCCATTTCAGTTAGAAGGTTTCAACTGCAGAGCTGTGCCAATATCTATTAATGTATGACTCTTATCTACTCTAAGAACTCTTTCAATTCAGTTGAAAATATTAAAAGCTACTGCTGTGAATACTGTCACCTTTTGAACTTTTATCCGCCTGGGCAAAAAAACATGTTTAAAAAAACCTGTTAAAGGCCGGAGAGTCTGCCTTGTTGAGATGGGTGGATCTGGACAAAGTTTTTTGAAACTTTATCCAAATACATAGGACAAGTAGATGAGTTATCAAATAGTTGAGTTTTCCTGACCTGACATGTGCTTAAGATTTTATAGCCAGTGGAGCACCACATGAATGGGCAGAGAAATGTATACAGCCCTGGTTATGGTTGTATGAGACTGAAGATTTTACTTCTGTTTCTTTTGGCTTTTCTAGCCTGCGTTTTTGGTTTTTTGCTATGTTGCCACGACAGAGCTTAAGAGGCAGTTGGTGTTCACTGTCAGGGGAAGGAAGGTGATTGCAGTGATTTAGTATGAACCTGTTGATGATACCTGAAGATTTCAGAGATGGTGAATGTGCACCAAGAAGGCTGATGGCATCCTGGCTTGTATCAAAAGGAGTGTGGCCAGCAGGGCCATGACCTGTACTTGGCACGGTTGAGGTTGTACCTGAAATCCTTCAGTTCTGGATTCCTCACTTCAAGAAAGACACTGAAGTGCTGGGGCATGTCCAGAGAAGGGCAATGGAGTGGGTGAAGGGTCTGGAGCACAGGTGTGATGAGAAGCACCTGAGGGAGCAGTGGCTGTTGGAAGAAAAGGAAGCTCAGGGAAGACCTTATTGCTCTCTACAACCACCAGAAAGGAGGCTGTAGGAGGTCAGGGTTGGTGTCTTCTCCCAAGTGTGATAGGATAAGATGAAATGGCCCCAGGCTGCTCCAGTGGAGGCTTAGATTGGACATTAGGAAAAATTTCTTCATGGAAAGAGCTGGAACAGGCATCCCAGGGAAGTATTTGAGTCACCATCTCTGGAGGTATTTAGAAGATGTGTAGATGTGGCAGCTGGGGACATGGTTTAGTAGTGGACTTGGCAGTGTCAGGTTAATGGTTGCACTTGATGGACTTAGAGGTCTTTTCCAATTTAAACTATTCTATAATCCTATGGGCATATAAGGTGCTGTTGGATGCATCCTCATAGTCATGGTTTTGCCTTCAGGCTTGTTTCTCTGGCATGTTTCTTTTACCCTGAAGAAGTGAAATATTTATATCTGCTAAAGTCTTATATCCCGTCCTCTCAGGGACAATAACTCAGTGGGGGAAGAGAGTACCAAATCTATTCCATGCAGTCCCTCCAGTCTGCACTGCTGTGTTAATCAACAAATACCCTTAGGCTTTAAAAGGATAACTGCAAAACAAAATCAAAGGAAATGTGCAAATTCCTTGGCATGGTCAACAAACTGGTCAAAAGCTGTGTCAGGGTTGAACTCTTAGTTCTGGAAAATGGGCAAATAAAGAGGAGCTCCTGAATCTGATAATAAGCTGAACTTTTGTCTGTAACCTGACTACTGTTCTTAATCAAAAAACCTCTCATTTGAAACTGTCTATAAGCTGTGAGTTTGCTGACTAACCAGTGTTTTTCACCTAGGCCTAAAAAAACCTGCAAAGTGAAGTTTCACACATCCTTGCAAAGGCCACTGGGTGGGATGAGCTAGTGCTGCTTCACAGGCTTTGTAGAGCAGAGCAATTCAGAAAGATGTGTGCTTAGGTGCTTATGTTCCAAATTTCAAAAATGCTGTAAGTTCTGGAAACACTGAACTTCGCATTCCTGAAAGAAGTAACTATTCCTCTGTGCCTCTTTGGAAAACAGTAGGTCTGTCTCCCATGGTCATTAAAAAAAAAAAATAAAACAAACAACACCCAACATAGAAATATACACAAGCATACATAAATGTTCTAGGAGATGCCTGGGAAGAATATGTCCAAAAGCAATTTTAATATTTGTGCTCTCAAGTAAGAGGGAATATGAGGGTAAGTAACTTGTATATTCAGGTACGTAACATTACTTGAGACTAAAGACCTTGGAGAGTTTGAATCCAAAGCATACTGTGTGACTGAGTCTCCATGAGGTGTCCCTTATCTTTTGAATCTCCCAATTTTATTTGTAACATTTCCAGCTAACTTTTCTGGATGTATACCAGTGGTATTAAATATGATTGAGGAGAGAATTCTAGGAAGACATCTTTATTGTCTCAACTTGCATTTTATTTGGAAGATTCATCAGCTGCAAAACTCCTTTCCTGTCTGAAGTTCATATATCTTGCATAGAATGAAATACATTTTATCATCTGGTAGAGATTTTTAGCTTCCTTTGGCTGTTCCAGTCAAAAGCTATCAAGGCTGGTTTAATGGATGTCTGGTGCTAGCCTGCTCTGGTTGATGCCTTTTGCTGGTCTCTAAATGTTGTGCCAATGTTTGACATGCTAGGAAGAAGTATTTTTAGGAATTGAACTACACCAAAACTTTGGTAAAGCATGATAACTGATTATGGTGCAGCAAATTTTAGGAGCCTCAAGGCTGATAATCAGAAAGCAGGTTGGTAAAGAGGTCTTGTGTTAGTCATTCACTTGTACACTTCTAAGTGCTATTTTAATGAGCTTTCACAAGAGGGCAGAGTAGAATTTGCTCCAGGAAATTGGCTTGAGACTTAACTAATATCTAGAAATAAGCCAGCTCAGATTCCTCTGGTTTTAGGACAGCATGGGCTGTATTATTCATGCTTTCCACCTGTATTGCATCCATCCTAGGTGCTGTGTGGCTTGTGAATTTCTGCTCCCTAAAGCAGAGTGCCAGAGACAGCCACAGACTCCTTCAAGTGTTCTGCCCCAGCCAGAGGGATGATGCTGGAGGGTGGAGGAGATCTGCAAACATGCTGCCAGTACACCACTGCCAGTTTTTGCTTCTTGGACATAGCTAAAACAATCTCTGTATGTTTTGTTAGCACAAGACAATGTTGATTGTTAGCACAAGACAATGCTGTGGCACAGATTAAAAAACTCTCTGTAGTTTGCAAACATAATAGAGAAGATACTATTTGACAGCAACAAGGTTTCCTTGCAACGTGTTGAGCTAAAATATGGCCAAGAAAATTACTCAAACAAGAAAATACTGTGTATCTCCAATTTTATGAATCTGTAAGTATGTTGGACAATTTATTTATTACAGTTACTACTCTGCCCAGAACCATCATCCTTGTTGAAACATTTCAGAGTCTACAGTTATCACTAGCACCCCTTGCCCCTTTCTTTATTAAAGGACAAACTGAGTTGCCTTTTTTTTTGTTCCCCTGGAGATTCTCAGAGGCGTAGTTTCACTTCTTGGTTGTATCTCAATACTATGTGTTCCAGTAGTTTAGCTGAAAGAGTTGCTTCTGATCTTTCATCACTCATTGAAAACCAGTTTATCCTGTACTATTCAGTGCTACTGCAATCAGTGCAAGTCAATGGGCACTTAGCATTTTAATATTCTCTGTATTGAAGACTTTAACCTTTTTTTAAATTTTCTTCCTCCTTCAGATTGACCCCAAAGATTACACTTTTTCCGGACTGAAGAATGAAACTGTGGGTCGATTGCCTGGGAAAGTAGCTGGGCAACAATTTGTCATTCAGGACTGCGAGAACTGTAAAATCTACATATTTGACCATTCTGCTACAATCACGATTGACGACTGTGTAAATTGCCAAATCTTTTTGGGACCGATAAAAGGCAGCGTGTTTTTCCGTGACTGCAAAGATTGTAAGTGTGTGGTTGCCTGCCAACAGTTCCGCACGCGGGACTGCAGAAAGCTGGAGGTGTTCTTGTGCTGTGCCACCCAGCCCATTATCGAGTCCTCCACAGGTATGAAATTTGGATGTTTCCAGTACTATTATCCCGAGCTTGCTTTACAATTTAAAGATGCTGGTTTGAGTATCTTCAATAACACGTGGAGCAACATCCATGACTATACCCCTGTGTCTGGAGAAAATAACTGGGGCCTTTTGCCTGAAACTGCTGTAGTCCAAGATTATGTTCCTCTGCCCAGCTCTGAGGAGCTGAAAGCTGTCAGGGTTTCCACTGATGCTACAAAGAGCATAATACCCATAACTCGAGGGCGGAGACAGAAAAACAGCGATGAATCGTGTTTGGCTGTGTTTTTTGCTGGTGACTACACAACTGCAAATGCCAGGAAGTTAATTGATGAGGTAAGCAACCTTTGTCTTCATTCAGATTTTTCAATTCCTAATTCAGCATTCCTGTGGACAGCCTCTGATTCTCCCTGAAGGGAGAATATAGAGTCTCTGTTTGTCTATTGACCATACTGATCAACTGCATTGTTTAAAACTTCAAAGCAAGGTAAGAGACTGAATCTCATTTGGTCAGTCAGTTGCTTTACAGTTGGCATCCTGTGAGTGGCACATCTACTCTCTAACAGCTCTGGTGTACTTTTCCATCATGGCACAGCAAAGAGATGCTCTGAAGAAAATATGTCGTTGATTTGATTAACTTGGTCAAATATAGACTGAGTGATTGACAATGCTTGTGAAAGGTATGTAAGTAATTAACTTGTTAGCTTATTGTCCTGAAAGTCTCAGCTAACAAAAGTCTGTCCTGAGAGTTTTTGCTGTACTAATAGAGAGTCTTAAAAAGAAAAAAAATGTATCCTCCATGTCATCCAGTACTGGAACTCTTTTTCTGAAAGGGGCAGTGAGTGTTTATCATGGCTGGTCAGCTGTCTTCAATGACTTAAATAGCTTTTTTTTTTTTATTGGTCTTTCTTTTTTTATTTTTTTTTTTTTCCTGTGAGACAGCAGCTTCCAAGCTTGGCTGAGTTTGTACTTTCCTGGGACTAAAACCTGGGAGTGGCTGGCTGCTTTCACTATCCTGAAGTGCCAAGGATGTCACAGAGCAGAGCCAGTAACCATGGGCTACAGCATCTGAGAATGGTATCTTCAAAAGCTGCTGATCACAGTGTTGTATGAACAACTGAACATCTGGTGGAGCTCTTTCCCTTGGGTTTTATCTGCAAAACTCAAAGACAGAAAGCTATAGGTGTCTCCTTGCCTCCCCACTGCCCAACTGGGCTTTTGTGGGACTGAGTCCTGAGTTACGTGAGTGAAAGGAGATAATGATACTTATGGGTGGTTTCTTTCCTGGTGAAGGAATAGCTACAGGAGGAGGGTAATAGATGTGTTCTCCTCTGTTAGTAGTTATTTAGAAGTTAGAGTTAAGAAGATGCTAAAGGACTAGTTAGTGAGTTTCTGTGGCAATCTAACTGCTCCGTAGGTTAATGGATGTTTTGGAAGTAAAAATGTATTAGCTCCTTTACCACGTGTTTTTAGTTTCATAAAAGACTTGGAGTAAAAAGGAGGGGGTGGGATGTATATATGTGTTTTCAAACTTTGGTAACTATTTTTCCAAAACTGAAAACTTAGCAGTGGATAGATGAGAGTTTGAGCTAATGCTTGACTGAACTATTGCAGACCAAAGACAACTGACTGCTTGTTTCCAGATGCTGAATGCCTTTAATTCCCATTAGTTTCTGCATGTGAGGGATTGTGGGGAAAAACACATAACCCTGGGCCCTAATATATAAAACAAAAACATTCACATTTATTCCTCTAGGTGCACTAGGGCAGAGGAGAAAGTCTGGATGAATGGAATGAAAATAAACAGAAGTGCAGAAAAAGCAAATGGTCTCTGAAAAGAGCAAAAAGGGTCCCTTTGCTCTGAGACTTAATGTGTATGGGAAAAATGAGTCTATTACAGTGTAATCTGGATACTCAAGTTGAGCTCTACCTTAGAAGCATTTTTAACATGAATTCTTCCTCTGTTAACAGATGACTAGCAAAGGCTTTCAGCTGGTACAAACTAAAGAGGTTTTAATGAAGGCAGAGGATGCTCACAGAGTTTTCCAGCAGAGTGCATTAGAATTCATTCCACTGCTGGAAAAAGGTGAGTTTGTGTTTTCTTTCTTCTCCTGATATAGAAATCTGTCACTAGAGAGTTCTGGAGAAGAAAGAGGAATGAAGGACAAATTTTTATTTCAAGGGCATACTGTAAAACCTGTTGAGATGAATTTTGGAAGCCTCAGTGAGGCCCTAAACCAGCCCAAACTCCTGAAGGCATCAGAAAGAGTTATTTCACATGTATTTTATGTTTTTGCTCCCCCTCTAGTGGTCCAACTGCATAGTTCAGGAGCAGTGGCACATGCAGATCTGCCTGGAGTGGTCAAAAATATCTCATCCTTTTAGATTATTTCTGACTTGCCACCAGTGCTGCTCAACCACTGAGCTGTTCAGTGTTTCTCTATGAATTATTTAAGCAAATCAATATAGGTGTACATAAAGCAGATGAATGTTTAAAATTCTTATTTATAACTGGTGTACTGTCAGAGTATTTCAGAAGCCTTCCTATTGAAATGACTGCAGCTGGGTTTTGTCTCTTCTTTCAGAAGTACTGACATCTTGTTATCTTATGTTACATGCTAAAGCTCACTGCACATTCCCAAACTTAGGAGCAACATGTAGGGTTTTTCATGGTGACATGAGAGATCTGTGATGCTCATTGCAAGACTAGGACAAAAGTCATTGCACTTGTAAGATGCTAGTCCAGCTTATGGGCTATATGGCAGTCATGTAGGAAGAAATATCATGTTCAGAATGAAACCAGAGAAAGCAGATCTGCAAAAAGTGAGTGAGAACAAGTCTAAAAATGAGACAATTCACTATCTTGGGACTGAAGCAAAAATGCTTGAATGACTCAGTCCCACTCCAGATGTCTGTGAAATGGCTCACTATTTGAGCAGTATAGTCTGACTCATTTCCATGATGCCTTGCACTCCTTAGCATTTTTGTGCTATTGCTGCCTTTCAAGAAGTAAAACTGGAATCCTGCCCAAATCTCTGTCAAAAAAAAAAAAAAAAAAAAAAAAAAAAAAAAAAAAAAAAGAGCATGAAATTGCAGATAACACTGTACTTTTTTTGGTAACATGTTTAAGTCTTTTTAATTCTTTATCTGCTGTTATGGTGCTGCTCAAGCAAAAAAATAAAATACTTCTTGCAAGCTTCACAATTCCCTATGGGTTGAGAAATCTACTCTTTCAATGCCAAGCTTGAAAGTATTATTGATTTTAGATGGAACTATTTTCTAGGTCCAGTGGTTGCTTTGGAATTCAATGGAGATGGTGCTGTGGAACAATGTCAAAGCACTGTAAATGAAGTTTTCAGTGGAACCAAGGTAAGCTGGTGTATTGCTTTATTCACAGAAAATATCACAGAATGTCTGAGTTATTTCATGGTTAAGATATAGTGTTGACATACTACACAATCTTTTTCAGTTCATGGGTAGTAAAATTGGAATATCCTTTTGATGTTGTTTTGGTTTTTTGTACTCAAAACATGAGTTACTTTTTGCTGACAACAAAAGTGTCCTAGGAAAGAAAATTCTGAATCCTCATATCCACTGAAGAATACAAGATTTCCACTTAAAACTTAATTTCTACTTAAAACTGTTATTTCACATAACAGCGAAATTAAGCTCTACAATTGTAGTACAAAATGTTCCACTTCAAGTCTTGGATTTAGTCACTTGACTTTGTGGTGTCCTGTCTATTAAACCATGACAAAGATAATGTGATGGGATTTCAACTTTTTTCCATGTTTACTTTTGCTGTGTAGGTTACCACAGAATGCCTTCCTTCAAAGACAGTGTTCTTTTTTCTTCTGTCAGCTTCTTTTGCTTTAGCTTCCTTACACCACACCTCCACTTTCCTTGCTGTTCCCTTTCTCTAAATGCCAATGGTTTTGAGAAAGTTTATGGAAACATTTAGAGCACTCCTGATGACAGGAGAGTGACAAACCCTTTGCTTTCCGGCAGTTGTTCAAAGAAGACTTGAATATCTTTAAGACATCTAGCATCCATGCAGCTCCTTGCTGTCTTTCACTTCCTTTCAAAAGATTTTCTTGGACCTAGGCTGCCCAGTTTCTGGAAAACAGAAAAACATCTTGTAGCTGGATGACTTTTTTTTTTGCATACACTGATAAATTTTGAAAAATGAAAAAGTAATTGAAGTAACTTTTTTAAAAATAGTCATCTATTGGAGAAGCAATGAAGATTTTTTGAAGGTAATATAGTACAAGGAAGTCTATCTTACAAACTCTCCCTATCTGTTAAAGGAATGTAGTAGTCTAAGGATTTTATATATTTATTTTTGCTCCACTCTCCTGGAGAGAGTTGACTTTACCAATCAAAATACGTTTAAATAGACACTAACTGAAGCTGTGACCCCTGAATAATGAAGCTCCAAGCTCCTGATCCTGAAGGCAAGGGTTAATGCAGCCAGCATGTGAGCTAGGAAAGGGTGACAATAACAAATGAAGGATGCATCAGGGCTGAGAGAATACTAGGATTTGTTCTGTCACGCAGTGGGAACCAACAGAGTTGTGTCTCTCATGAAATGCAAAACTAAAAATAAGCATTACTGGTTCCAAATGAGCACGGCTGCTTTTACTGATGCATAATTCTTTTCTTGTTTATCAAAACAGGTTTTTGTATCAGAAAGCAAAACATCGGCATCTCAAGATGTAGACAATTTCTACAATTTTGCTGACATGCAGATGGGAATGTGAAGTTTAGCATAAAGATGCTCAAGTATGGTTTGTCTTAGCACTTGGACGTCACTTGGCTTGAATATCGCAGTAGTTTTGTAATTTAGTTTTGTATTTCTCACATATCCCTTTTATAAAGCAAGTGGTGGTTTTTAATACCATATTATCTCAACTGGAGTAAACTGCATAGCTAGCCATGTGCATTGTGTTTGAAACTTAAGCTTAATTTCAAAAACAATTGAGCTTTTCTACTAACTTTTTAACAGTGATTTCTAAACATCTATCGACACTTGAATGTTTCTAGACAACGTCTAATGATTATACATATTTTAAAAGTGCAATGCTGATCCAAGTTTCATGCAGAAGTAATTGTTATCTTGCACTCAGACACGTTGTTTAGAAAGTGTATTTATGTGAAATTTGCCCTTCAAAATTTTCCCACATGCAAATTTGTCTTCACTGGGGGTCCAGGAAGGAAGCTGTAGTCACTTACTTTTTCTGAGAGCTTAGTCTGAAGTTAATTGTCCTTGTAGCATGCTTTCAAAAGTGGTTTGTGTCTTTGGCTCACTCTGCTTCAGCATGCTTTCTGAATGAAGTTGTTTGCAGCAGCATTTGTGGTGAGAGTTGTCACAACAGCATTCTGGTAAGTGAGCACTTGCCAGGCTTTTCTGCTTTGAGGTGAATCCTGAGCATGAGTGCTCTGCTGAAGCTACTCTAAGGTTTGCTCAGGTTCTTTGGTGATACAGCTGCCTCTGGCATTGCCAGCTCACACATGGGATATATTTGAGCTTTCTTTGCACTTGAACAATAAACCTCTGGCATATTGGTTTTTGCTAGAAGGAACATAGCCAGTAGTCAGAGAAGGACTCTGGCATTAAAAACCCCTTCTTCCTTCCTAGACCCCATGAGAAGCTTTTACTTGCAGAAGTAATATAGAAAGTGCTGTAAAGTGCTACACACTGCCATAGGATTTATTTTGTATTAATTCTAAAGACAGACTGAAGAAATACTACCAGCATTTTTGTGAGATGCATTTGAATAGTGCTCAGTAATAATGCTTATTGCTAAATAATGCATATTAGAATGCAAATCTATATGGGTATTAAACACGATTGATTTATTTTTGCATATTGCATCCTTACTGATTTTTCTACACGAACTTAAAGCTTCAGTCCAGGTTTACAAGCCCTCTGTAATACTTGAACCAATTGTGCATGCAGACACACAAAACCAAATTTCATAATTAAACATGGCTTGCCAGTTTGCATAGCCTTTACAATTCATTGAAAGGATTGGGGCTGTGTTGAGGTGCTAAAGCCATTTCCTCATTATGGTCGTCCATCAAAAGGGAAGATCTTGCAAATTTTAACTGAAGATGAGTCTTGACTCATCGGTTTCACAGCTCTGGAGCTCCAAAGTGGGTGGCTGAAAACATCTCTAATTTTTTTGAATTAGAATGAAAGACTCATGAAAGAATTTCTTCTCCTGAAATTCATAATTCTGTAATGGCCAAGAGAGGTTCTGAACTGTCATCTTGTTGCTACTGGGCAAATGCTTGCCTTTAGTTTAAACTCAGGAATATTCTTTAGGACCTCTTGTTATAGTTATGCATAGATTAAATAAGGAAGAATATGTCCTGAATAAACTAAACCATTGGTGTACTGGAGGTAAGAAAATTGCCAATTCTTTGAAGTGTTTTTATTTGACAAAGTCGAGCCACCACCAGAATTCAGCTGGTAGCATAAATTACCACTTAGTTGTTTTTTTTTTTTTGGTTTTTTTGTTTTTGGTTTTGTTTTTTTTTTTTTGGTAAGTGTGAGGTGAAGCCTGTAAAAAGAGCTAAAAATTTTATCTTGCTCTCCAAAGTACTAGCACAACTCATCAGTCAACATGTACAGGAATTAATCTAGACATTTACAGTAAATGTATTATCTCGGTATGGACAGTACATTGAAATTGAAATTGTATCATGTGCTTCAGAGCTGTCATTGTGTGACTTGTATCAGCAGTACTGTCTTGGTCTCTAAACTTCTACATATAACATTTCCAAAGTTACATGCTGACACATGATTGTGTGTATGTTTATAGCTTATTTTTTGTATCATCAACCTGCTCTGGAAACAAAGTGCTAAATGGACTTTTGTGACTCCATTTGCTGGAGGACAGGAAGATTAATTGAAAATTAATCTAGGCTTGAAAGTGGAATAACTTTTCTACATGCTGGGAAAGAGCAGTGTTTTTTTTTTTTTTTAAACATGGATGGTCCATTTACTGACATCAAGAATTTGTAATTAAAAAATCCCTAAATAATGAAGGAGTTTCTCAATCCAATTATTTATCTATCTTTTGATTTCCATTTCTTGCTAACAGGTGTTAACACTTCTAGCTTAAGAGTCAGGAATTCTTTGCATTACAGAATGGTACGTGTTTGATGTATTCTTTGTACATTTCTTGTGTAGCTTTTAATGTAATTTGTATTACACTGTGAATGTGATTCATAATAAACATTTGAACTCAGGATTCTGAAGATTTCTTAAAATTATGGTATATTGAAAAATATAGTTACATTATATTAGGTATAAAAACTGGGATATTAAACAGGGATCTATCTTGAAGTAGATATTAATAGCTAATCAAAAATAAACTTTTACTCTCTAGGCATTCATCCTCTGAAAAAGGTGATTTTTTGACAGCAGAGATTTTTCGTCAGTCAGAGATTGTGGTGTTTATAGTAGTAAAATTGTTAATTTAGAAAGCAGGTCCATATAATATCTGAAAACCAGTAAAATCCTCCTGAAAATAGGTAAAAAATTAATACATTTCCAAACATGGCTTTCAACTGGTCAGAAATGTGACTCTTCCAAGGTCTAGGGTAACTCTCACTAAGCATAAATGTTTGGAAAGAACATAAAGTACTGTATCAATACAATTGTCTTTTGAATATATTGAGTAAAATTGTGAAGCTTTAAAGTAGCAAAGCTTTTGGTTTATCTTCAGCTATTATTGTACGATTTTACAGTTTGAAAACCATCTTGTTACCCCAGTTGGATCCAAGTCGCCTGATAATCTTTTTTTTTTTTTTTATGTGTCTGACTCATAGCAAAGCTGACCTTAAGTATTTTCACCATTTTTACTAATCACATCTTCAAATATGAACATGAAGAACTATCTGTGCCCCAGTTGTTAGAAGATCACCCAATTTCTTTTGTCATATCTAATATACATGCATTCTTTTGCATGACTTTAATCCACAGACCAGGGTGCACTTATATAACTTGGACAGATTTTTTTTCAATTCCATAAAGCAGCCTTAACCTTTTATTACAAAACACTTGCTTAAGTCATTCTGACTAATAAGGGGAAAAAAAGTTTTACTGACTTAAGCATGAGTAAAAATCTGTAGGTGAATATTTTCTTATTTAAATGCTGTTTTTAAAGTATTTAGGTTTTATTAATACAGACTTGAGCGTTCTCCACAAATTTCAATCAGCGTTGACAATAGTATCTTCTAAAAGATGTCGATTTCAAAGGCTGTTTTCCTAAAAATTTAATGCAGAACATAGTGAAATTAATCTTTTAACACTTAGGAGCAGCCCATTTGCCTGCCTGATTATTTCCTAAGCTCTTTTGCTATCAAGTTTCTTGTTGACTCATTGGGACCTTTGTGCCATTTCTTTTTGAATTAATGAGTAAGCCTCCTGAGGCCACAAGGGTGATATAAGTCTTTGGAGGTCTGCAGGAACAGCTCTTCAAAGGCATGTTTAAATCTGATCTGAACCATGTAAATTCTAGTCCAACAGTTTCAGAAGCTGTGAATAAGTGCCAATTGCAAGTATTGTCTCTAGCATCCATGGATTTGAGTGGGATGGTGCAACTGGCTGTGGCGCTTCCTGAAGCTGTGTGCTGCATTTTGCTGCAGTATATTTTGGAATGCAGCTAGTTCTGGGAGTCCACCCTGTTCCCTGGGCTTTGATTGCACAGTTTGCAGTATGAGCTATAGTCATTTGCTGAGGAAAACAATTTCTGAAAGGTAATCATTTGCTGTATTGCCATCCTGGAGTTTTTCTTAAAGCTGTCTGTTCTGAGCTCTGTCTCTCAACACAACCATCTACATATGGCAAAACCTTGCAAACATTAACCTGCTAGAAACAAGATGTGCAGGAGGATTAACTGAATGTCTGGGAGTCTTGGAGCATTAACAGTCCAGACATTAATATCTTGGTGTCCAATTTGATAGAAAAATGCTTTTTACTGCTTTCATCTCTTCAGAATGCCCAGTTGCCATAAGGCTATTGCTGGTAATGTTTGTGGTCAGAGCCTTCCTGAGGCACACGTAGTCATCGCTGCTTCTGAGTAAGAGAGAAGAAAAGGAGGGGGAAGTGAGAGCTTTTAAAAAAGCTCTGAAGTTTTCTGAGTACATAAAGAAAAATGTGCAACTGCTCAATCCTTTTTTTTTTTTTTTTTTTTTTTGATGCATTTAGTGATAATCCCCAGCTATGACAATTTCATGGCCAGAGTATCTGAGTATTTTCCCAGAATGTATATTAAGCAATGTGGCTAGCATCTGTCAAGGACAAGTCATCCTCTTTTCAATTGCTCAAGGCTTTAAAATTGCCAGGGCTGCAAGGGTCTAGGACATCTTTCAAATACATGTGGATTTTACTTGTATCTTTTTGCTTAAAAAATATATAGAAAGCTTGTCCTTCAAACAACAGGTAAAGTTCATAGATAGGAAATTACAGTGATGTTAAAAGGCTCTTGAACAGTGTTTAAATGAGTGTTTGTCTGATGTTCCCAAACTGCAAAGGCTGAAAGCAATGTGCTATTATAAGGTCTACCCAAATGATGAGGCTAAATTTAAGGCAAAGCACCTCTGCAGCACTGGGAGCTCAAAGGACTCTGTGTCTAGATGACCGTGGTATGTACCTCTCTGCTTTTCCAACTTCATTTTAGCACAAGTATTGTGGTAGTGAAGTCACAGTTCACAGAGTCATGTGAGAATCTACACTTTAATTTTTAGGAACCTTTTGTCTTAGGGAAGAAAACTTGGAAATCTTAGGTTTGTTTCTTTATTTTGGTTTGTCTTTTTATTTTTCTGCTTAAGCCATTAAACTTATGTCTCAAAAATAAAAATAAAAAAAATTAAACCTTTTGGGGGATATGGAAATGTGGGGTCACCACAGAGCTGATTTCTGAGCACTGAAGGGAGCAGCAGCCCTACTTTCCCCTACTTAAAAGGATGCTGTCTGCTGTGGTGAGATTTCCCCCAAAATTATGTACATCACCAGAGAGGCAGCTAACTTTCCAGGTCTTTTAAGCAACTTTATTTCCTCAATAATACAAGCATAAGATGTATTCTTTGATTCTTTTTTTGTTAGGTACTTACTTCCATGCATTTAAGGTAAAGAGCTATAATACTAATTGGTTTTGAAAGATACTGGCAGCCCTCTCCATTCTGTGCTACTGTCTTAGAAGGAGAAAGATAAATCAAAGATCTCCCTAAGCACAGAACTTTGAACTTGTCAGATCCTGGGAAGTGAATCTGGCACATTTTGCTCTTAAGAGAGTAAATGGTTCACGATTGTGAAAGTTGTTTTTTTTTTTTTTGTCTGAATGTGCTGATCTTTTTATGAAGGAAGAACTTCCCCCCCATTTCTGAAGTCCCTCTACAAGAAAAAAACCAAACACTTCAGGGGCCTTTTTTAATCGGGTCTTGGAGATAAAATGGAAGGGCTGTACTATGACCTGAGGGCATCCTTTGATAGCTGCCCCAACAGGTGCTAAAGGATTGGATTAAGTGTTTAAAGACTGTCTTTTGAAGCTCTGAGTGTTCTTTGCTTCTATTTCTACTAGTGAGTATCAGAAACATTTTTAGTCACAAGGGTTTAGAGATGGCTAGCCATCCTTATTTGAGATTCTGATTTGCATTTTTACACAGAAGAATGAAAGTTTCTCCACAGTCATAATTAATGCTCTCATTTGCAGGTGCATGTTTTTGCTTTATGGTAACAGTTCAATAATTTTGCTCACTGTGAAAGGAAAATAAGGAAGTTAAGCTTTTCTGTCTCTTGCCAGTAACTGCCAATCCTTGCTCTGGTTTCAAGGACATTGTATCAAGTTTTCATCAATGGTGTCTGCTCAATGATATGGGAGTTTTATGCAGCATCTATGCATTTTAAAGAAAAGAGGAATTACCAGCCTTTGGTATCTGTGTATTTCTTTTATCAGAGACAATTAGAATTGCTGGCCATGGAGGCTTCTACGTGCAGGCTGGGAATGCCACAAAGACTTGGAGGTAAGGGGTTTGAATTAACTTCCCAGGCCTTTCCAGTGCTTATTTCCCCCGACTATTCCTCTGTGACATACTTGTTGTCTTTTTCTTCTCTGGCATCTGATCAGTGATAGCAGTATAAAAAATACTTGTTGTTGTTCAAATTCACTGGAGTACTTCTAGGTATTTCAGTTAGAGGTGCTTCTTTTGTGGCTCAGACCCATGTCAAACTCTGCGTGACCATCTTCTCAAACGTTAAATGCTACTGCAGTGTAACTTTCTTAATATCCTAATATACCACAGGCAGCTTTTGTACAGCTGAGTTAGGAGTTGCTTCAACTTGGGTATGGTATATGTGCATACATTATTTTACCCTGATTATACCTCTTCTAGTTTCCAGATCATTCTTCCTTTGGGAAGACTTCCTGTTTGTGCTACATTTTATCAATGTGTTAACATCTGGCTTTGTAAATTCCTTGTATTCTCTAGGTGCATAAGAGCATCTGTAGTTCATCTTTTTGTGAGTGAATGTAGAAACTGTGTTGCATGTCTTCAAAAAGAACAAAAGTGTACAGTCTACTTCCTATTTAGTCATCTTGCTTGGTGTTCCTATAGAAATACACAGTGAATGTAAAGCATTTATTAAAATTTGTAGCCTCACAGACTTTCTGATATGAGTTTTCCTATGTCACTTAGCTTTTGGCTATGAGCCCACCACGTAGAGCTGTGGATTTACTATAGAATTAGAAGCTTGGATGTCATTTTCTCTTGACATGTGACAGCCAGTGTAGGGAGGTGTGTGTGATTCCAGACATGGGAAATGAAGATAGCTGCTAAACACCTTTCCTGGGTTGGGCTGCATCTGCTCCTGATGAGGTCACTCATATATAAAGTAATCTGACAGGAAACTTCTTGTAAGGATGTTTCCTTCACTGATGGGAATACACATTCTTGATCCTTCAGAATGATTGATACTTTAAACATTATATGTGTGTGTGTGTGTTGTGAGTATACTCTACTAAGCAGGTTTCATGGATACACACAAAATATAAATTGCTTTGAAATCCTAGTGAAAATATTGGTACTTGAAAATGGTTTTTGTTTTGTTTAACTCAATCAGACTTTATTTCTTTTATGACAAGAAAACAGGCCTTTAGTACATGAACTTGGTTTTATCACTCTGAATTCCCTTCATTTGGGTCTTCAAATCTCTTGTCTTAAATTCAATATTGCTTGCCCTGCTGCCTGCTCCACCTGGTTTCATAGAAAGGATTTTACAAGTGGCAGTGGTAGGGGCAGCATTCTTGGTGTTTTACTCGATCTTGTGGTTTTCTGAAGCTGCTCAGAGTGCTTTTCTGGCAGGTAAATGAACTGAAGGCAAATGAGGTGATTGCTGGTGTGTGAAGGAAGTCATACGTGTCAGCATTGGCATTGCTGTTTAGTTGTGGTCTAACTGCATTTGTAGAAAGCTATGCCTCATATTACACTCAGGAATATGAACCAGTTATTCCAAAGAAAAAAGATTTTTTTTTTCCGTTTTGAAGCAGGTAGTAGATGCATGAAAGTCCTTGCCAGCGGTGATTTACAGTCAGAAGCCTACAAGAATTCAGTGAGAGTTGACTTGGACAAGTACTTGGAGAAGTGATTTGTTGAGGGTTACTAAACAGATGCTCCACATACTACTTGGGAAATGTGATAAAGTAGTTGGAGAGTACTCAGGGGAAGTATCTTACTGTGGATGCCCACATGGGCCAAGAGGAAGTCAGTGCGAGGTGCCCGTGACTTGGTAGAGCAGGTGGGAGGCTAGGCTGAGCTGTATGGAACATTTGGCTGAAACAGTGCCTCCTTTCTTATGGTCTGTTTCTCTTCATCTTTCGGCTGCTGTCAGAAAACACTGTAGAAATGCAGCCCAGGCACGCCAAACTATCCGTTTCATGCTTGCTGCTTATCTCTTCCTTTTTCTCCTTTGTACTCCTTATTATAATCTTGCTGTTTCTTCTCTGTGCCTGGCCTCAACAGAAGGCCTGTACCGAGTTCCCAGGTTCCATTTCTTTCTCTCCATAGCCCTTCCATGCCTCAGTTACTGTGTGCATGGAGAAACGGGGCTGCAGCAGCCGAAGGATGATCTCCAGCTAAGACTCTTTGCAGCAGTTCTTCTGGTAAGGAAGGCAAAAGGGGTTTCCAGAGGGTTTGACACAAGCAATACTTGGTAATAGCAGTATGGGAAATGAGTGTGTCTGTGGGGCGTAACAACGGAGGAGGTTTGCTGAATTTTTGCCACTTTTTCCTTCATTCTGATGCTTCCTACTGTGGTTTCTATCCAGTGTTGTTTCAATGTCATAGGCTGAATGATTAACACTGATAGCTGGCTAAAAGCTGCCTTAAGGCAAACTTTATTCTCCTTATTTTTCAAATTGTGCCACTGAGTTCTCAGTTCAATGCTGGGCTGGGCTGAGGTGGGTGCACTCAGAAGCTGCTGGAAGGTAAAAGAGATGTGGTGAGGTGTCTGGCCACCTCTGTCGCTGCCACCAGCTGCCCAGTCCAAAGTTGAGTCTTGGTAGCCAGTGGCTTCAGGGATGCAGACCAGGCATTGCCCCTTGGCTCATCTTCTGAAATGGCAAAGAGAAAAGTAACACATGGGAGTGGCAGGAGCCAGCTCCTGCCTCTCACCCGGACAGCCCAGCCCCCAGCCCACTGGAAGGGCTGAGACTGTGGCCTTCCCTTCCAGCCTTCACAGAATCACAGAATGAATTAGGTAGGAAAGACCCCTTGGAGCATCGAGTCCAACCCATAACCAAACACTACCATGTCAACTAGACCATGACACTGAGTGCCAAGTCTAGTCTTTTCTTAAACATCTCCAGGGATGGTGACTGCACTACCTCCCTGGGCAGCCCATTCCAATATCTAATCGCCTTTTCTGTGGAAAAATTCTTCCTCGTGTCCGAGCTAAAACTCCGGTCATAGTTTTAGACTATGACCTCTTGTCCCGTCGCTGGCTGCCTGGGAGAGGAGGTCGACCCCCACCTGGCTACAGTCTCCTTTCGTGGTTGTAGAGAGTGATAAGGTCACCCCTGAGCCTCCACTTCTCCAGGCTGAACAGCCCCAGCTCCCTCAGCCGCTCCTCACAGGACATGCGCTCCACACCTCCACCAGACACACTGCCCTTCTTCCTCCCCTGCCGTCCGCTTCCCGCTCGCTCTCCGGGCGGGGGGCGGCTCTGCCGGCGCAGCTGGCAGGAAGGCCCGGCGCGGGCAGGGAGGGAAGGGGAAGAGGCGGGGCCTGGAGCCCAGCAGTGTCAATAATACAATAGGGCTCTTGTGCGGCCGCCGCCGCCGGAGGAGGAGCGGGCCGTGCTGCGGGCGCGCCGAGCAGCCGGCACGCAGGGCGGGAGCGCCGGGGGCGGCGGGCGGGCGGCGCGGCGGGCAGTCCGTCCGGTGTGGGCGCTGCGGCCCCGGCCGCGTCCGGAGGGAAAAGTTGCGGCGGCTCCGGAGCCGGGCGGGCGCTGCACCCGCGGCGGGCGGCGAGGGCCGGGCGACCTCCGGCCAAGCGCCCTTTTGTTCGCCGCAGCCCGGAGAGGCGGCGACCCGGCGGTGCCCGAGCCGGCGGGGCCCTGCGGAGCGCGGCTGGGCGTGGCTGGCGGGCAGACAGACAGACAGACAGCCGGGCGCTTGTCCGCCGCCGAGCACCGCTCCGCCGGTATGTCGAGGAACTTGCTAGAACTGAGTTTGACAATGAAGCGCTAGCGCAGCCCTCCCGCCTGCCCGGCCGCGCCGCCAAGGTAAGTTTTTTCCTGAGCGGCGGGGGCGGATGGCCCCCCAGTGCCCCCTGTGCCTGCAGGCAGAGGAGCGGGAAGGTCCCGGCTTCACTTCTCCTGATCAAACCTTCCTCCCTTGCATGGTGTTTGCCTATAGCTGCTCAAATTCTGCAAAGGCATGGCTGCGTTCTACGGATGTACCGCGACCGGTGTGGTTAGCGGCTGGGGATGTAGTAAAAGTATTTATACTTGTAGATAATAATGGGATGATTAATGAGAGAATTTGGGACAGGGCACCCTAAAACACATCTTACCAGGCAAATAAACCCCACTTTTTTTCTGTCTTTTAACTAGAACTATTTTATAAAAAGTAGTTGTAGTTACTTGAGGAGTTCAGCTATTGTTTGCAAATTGTTATAATGGGTAGCTATGTATTTTTATTGAAATATCACTAAATTTGTGCTGTGCTTCAAGGCCCAATGGTTTTTTTCATGTTCAGGAGAAAAGGGGTGCTGAAGACAACATCCAAGTAAGATTAGAAAATCTTCAGTTACTGCACACTAGATACTTTAAAGCTGTTCTGCTTCTCTGTTAATGTGAAAGAATTGAAAGATTAAGAGAAATGTATTTTGTCCTGGTACTTGCAAGATGCTTAATCAGCAGCTGACTTTTTACATCAGGTTGGTGCTTGTTATGGGCTGTTCTGTAGAGCATCTCGAGCACACCTGCTCATCTCTACACAGTGAGACTGCATCTTAGTGTTGGTTAGAGAGCTGGCTTGAGTGTGAGAGCCTTAGGCTGGAAAGGTCGACCTGGATGAAGGCATGTTTGCATAACTTTCCAGCTTGCCACGGAGTTCCTTAAGGAGACATCAGAAAAGTCTTTACCTGCACTTACCAATGGGAGAAAATGCAGTTTGAAGTCTCTTTGGTTAAGAATGGACCTTTTCAAAGTAAAAGCAAATTAGTACTTTTAGGATTTAAAGTTTGTGTTGTTTTTTGACTGAACTTCTGACCTCTTTTCAGACTAGACATGACATGCCCTGTTTTTATTGCACAGAGGAGGAGAACTCGAAAGCTTTATTTGCAAAACTTGGACTTTAGATGCAGTAAAAGTAATCAAAATAGCAGAACTGTTTCTGTTACCTATTCCTCCTTTGATGTTTCCTCTTTCTATGTTCCTCTTACAGAACAAGCCTCCCTCCTCCAGAGGGAAAAATTCCTTTGAGTTGGGTCTGATAGTAGGTCTTTTTTTATTATATTTTTGTTATGTACATGTAGCGGATACCCACAGAGGGGTGTCCACAGAGATATCCACAGAGGTTTGCTAGAACTGGTGTAGGAACATATGCAGTGGCATTTATTGGCAAGGATGCATGTTCATTTGGGATCTCATTAAAGCCATGAAAATCCTCTGTGGATGTAAGAGCCTCGGATAGATAGATCTCAGTGTAGTGTTGGAATAAATGCAGCTGTTTTCTTCTGTGCTGTTCTGTGCACTTCCTCTCAGCAGCAGAAAATCAGGAAGTTTGTGTTTGGGATTTATTGGGATACCTGGGATTATTGTGGGCTTTTTGTTTTGATTTGTAAAATATACATACTTTTCATAGACCTGCATGATTCGCTTGTGGAGAAGAATTTATATGATGCCTTCTTATCTACAACTGAATATTATTTTTACCTGTACAGTTTTATATGCATATACACATGGGCAGAGATGTGTGTATGGTCACTGTAGTAGTTTCCACATGCTGAATGCTGTAGAGCATTTTCCCCAAGAGCTTGCTGCAGCTGGCCTGGGGGATGTCTTGACTGGTGACCAAAATTCCTGGCTAGTGTGTTGGCAAGTGTCTAAGATCATGGTGAAAATGGGTAGATTCGGTAGACCTGATGGGGAGAAGTGAAGCTAAACCCTGTACAAGCTGACTTGAGTTTGAAACACTCCTGCAGTGTTCCTTGTGGTCTATTTAGGTAGCTTATTTCAATCTTTGTAATTAATTCCTGACTATCATGCCCCAGTGGGTGAAAAGTGGGGCATGGTGCCTGCATATTTTTGGTTAGCTTGGCAAGACATGGGATGCATCTGGAGGAGGAATGTGCACCCATTTCTGTTGTGCATCTTTTATCATCCATGGATGGAAATGTCATGTAAACATCTGTTTCTGTGGTTTGTCTTCTTCCTTTAGTCCCTGGAAGTCTCCTCCAGAGGCTGGTAAGTGCTTTGGGGGGCTATTACTTGAATGGGTTTGATGGTGTAGTGTTGTGACCACTCTACAGACAATACCAGGCAATTTGATAGCAAAGAATGTTGTATTCAAATGAAATGTAAGTTAATATTCAGTTCAGTATAGGTATCATTCTCTCAATGTATTTTTTAACAAAAAAATTTACTGTTTTGCCTAGATTAGTGGTAGTGTTATGTTTTAGTGGGTGACTTCTTTCATTATGGACAGAAATGGACTGAGCCAAAACTTGCTATTTGCACACGTTGCTTAATCTCTCCACTCCCACAATTTTTGTGAGAGCTATAGCTAAGGGGGCTCGGGGGCTTTTGAATTCTTCAGGGAGGGGAACCTCTGAAACTGTGTGGTGTTTCTCTTTTCTGAAGATTTGAAGTGCCTGTAACGCTCAAAGCTTCATGTAATTGGAGACATATATACAATTTTTACATACTTTACTTAAAATGGAAACTAACAAGTTAATAATAGCTCTTATCGGGGGTATTTATGTAATGGAAGCCAACAGATGCTATTTGCATCTTGAAGAGCTGATGTACAAAATGTTATGTCAAGGCCCTGGCAGGTTTTATGCTGGTGGAGGCTGGGTCAGGTGGGAGTGGGAGATGCTGGAGATCTGGAGGGCTTGATGGCACCTCTGAAAAGTGAGATAACTGTATGAAATGTTGCATTTTAGCACATAGCTTATTTTAATCTAATGCTGCTAATAAAAAGAACAGAGTTTTGATTTGAGAATTGATTTCTTTTATATTTATTCATGTTAAATAATCAATTACACCTGTCACTTTAAAAGTACTTTTCTTTATGCTGTTTTCCAGCTACAACTACGGCTCCCCCCTAAAAATTGTGTCTATAGGTATTATTTTTATTGATACTTCAACTTATTTTGACTACAGGAAGATATCTGGTAAATAAGTTTCAGAAATGTAATGTGACAAACCGGATGGTGCTTTCTGTGGAATGATGCCGATGTAATTACCAAGCACCTCCCTGTTTCCCTGGGCTGTTCAGTCTTTCTTATTCATTTGCTTCCAAGTTACGCTTTTCTAGATGACATCTGAACTTTTCCAACATTTAATATCTTATTTCAGTGTGTAGGAGACTAAGAATTTAGGGATTAGAACAGTCTGGGATGCGTGATCTTGGACCTAAGGAAAGCTCCTGCATTTTAGAGCAATAATACAGGCTTTACTGAGATTTAAAGGAATGGAAGAGACCCTGAGCTGTGAGCATGACTGCGGAGGCTCCACTGGCACTTCCTTAGTCGCCCTCTTCAGAGAAGCAGGAGAAGGTGGGAGGATAAGCTCGTGACTGCTGATGCTATTTGTTATAACTTTCTCCTGGATTGAATACTGGGATGCTTGCCTTAGCTTGTTAAACTTTGTTTGAAAACTTTGGAATGCGTTTCTTCTTCAAAGTACACCTGTTACAGCATTAGATTAAAGAGCTGTGCTTCCTGATTATTGAATTGAATGGTGAACATAACAAATCGTGTCATTAATGTCTCTTTGTGTTTTAATTAGAGCTCTAGGAGATGTTAAAAAACAGGTTTATGCCACATGCCTGACTGGTTGCTAAACTGAATATGCTTGTCACACAGTCTTGGGGGAATTATCTATTATTTTGCTAATCTACTGTTCTGGGCTTCCCCCAGCCCCCTCTCTTTCCTTTTTTCCCACCTTGCTCTAAAAAGTTAGTTTTGAATATTTTCTGAGGGTTTGTCTTACCTGCTTAAAGCTCCTGACTGTCGAAATCCTTTGCTGGTGAAAGGCTCAGGCTCTTGCTCATGTCTTAAAGAGCAGTTTCATGCCTGCACAAGTGCTTTGGTGCACAGCAAGTCCAGCAGCTTCTGATAGTTAGGGTAGTGCAGTGCGTGAGTAGCGGCTGGAATGCCTGAGATCCTCCAAGGGGAGGGGTGATGCCCCACACACCAGGAGCTGCAAAGTGAAACAACTGACCCAGGAACATTTATTGGAAGTAGGTAATTTTGTTTGACTGTCTTATGAAGAGTTTTCCAAGCTGTTTTTTATTTTCAGGTAGTTCTTGTTTTGGAATATGCTGTTGGGTTGATGACAGAATAATGAGAGGAGAACCGCGTGGGAGAAGTTCTGCCTGGGTGCTGTCTTTTAATTGTGCTATATAGTTTATCACGTAATATTGAATGACTGAAATTCTTTAAATCTGTAGATAAATGATGGATTTACTACAAGTGCTAGACAAGAGCTACAGTCTCATGGCTGTTCACAAGCCCTTGAAAACCATAACTAAACTATGAGCTTTCATTCATACTTAAAAATGTAAGTCTTGGTTTAACAGACCAGACAGTTTTTTAAATAATGATTCCTCTATAGACTGTGGTGGTATTGAGAACATTACTACTTTTAGTGTGCAGATATTTAAATCTTCCCCTGCATATCAAGTATAGCAGAATAAAAAGGTAGTATTTTCTGTCTGCTGACATGTCAGAAAACCTGATGTCTTGAACCGCTGGATACACAAGTGTATAGGAGAAATGTCTACCCTGTCAAGGGAGGAAACAAATGTCCCTAGTGGGACTCCAAGTGTTTCATTCTCTTTACTTGTTCTGCTTTTAACTGCTTGTACTTATTTAATATTTTTTCAGTGTTAATTTGCAAGCTTTGATATAAAAGTGACTGTAGAGGACTCATCATAGGAAATAGTGTCCTTGTCCTGTACACGTTTTGGCTTTAATGAAAAAACAAGCCAACTGAGGACCTTGTGGAGCTGAAATACTCAGTATGTGAGTGCATTAGGGACACACAGGAAA